TTTTGCGCCCTGTCAACTTGACGATTTCACGCACCTCTACGTCTGCGTGCGACAGCTGTGGTGACTCTTACACACTCATGTGTGTACTTTGTGCTCAAATTCGATTCTACGGATATTATTTTCTACATTTTGGAAAGTGTTTTGTGACCTAGTGGCTTCAAAGTGTAGTGAATTCAAATTGAATCGGATTGGCTGGCATGTTGACAAAGAGCCAGATTTGTGGTGATATTTCCGAAAGGATGGATCAGGACACGAGGGTGTACCTCTGGCATAAACACGGTAAGGTAATTAATTATACTTTAATAGACTACTTTAGATCAAGCAGTGTAATGGATAAGAGGGATCATGACTAAGCTAAATAACTTTTTTCAACGATATTATACATTTAGAAAAAAATATGTTGGGCTAAACAGAACGGTTTGCAGATTCTGTAGATCTAATTGTGTTTTACTACCGCTAAATTTGAAACAGTACAAATTTCAAAATATCATTTTGTTTGAATTGATAACCCAACAGTTTATTTTTATGTGGACGGAAGGCATTAGAATCTAAAATTTCTTCGGCGTTCGATGTTAATGCATCCTCCGTTACCGGATCAAGATCAGTGGCGATATCGTTGACGAAAGCTGATAATAAATTTAACACGGAAATTTTGTAGCAGTCTATTGCTGGATCTATTCTGACATAACATAGAATCAACGTAAACATATTTGTTTTTGCTGAATTTTTATTCGGAAAGCAGACGATGTTTTGATCTTGTTCGACTGAATATTTGTTCCCCATGCTTCGAAGTACTTTTGTATGTATAAACACCTATTGCTGTGATTTTACGCAAGTAGTGAGTCGTGCCCGTCATCGCTAAATCCATCTTTAAAGACATATGTGTAATTTCCGACAGTAAAATCGCCGTAATTTATCGATGCATCGGTAGGTTGTTCGGTGTCCGCCATGTTAGTGGGCAGACAAAAATAGTGCATTACCGTAAACCATGTATGATTGCGCACGGAAAACAGAGACCTGTATAACGTGATTATATACCCCACCTTCAACAAGAACACGATTTACCTGTAAATAACCAGCAGATGTAGAGAGGAGAGTATACTATGTAGCAGTTGGAGGACAACTACTTCCCACCTTCAACAAGAACACGATTTACCTTTAAATAACCAGCAGATGTAGAGGAGAGTATACTATGTAGCAGTTGGAGGACAACTACTTCCCACCTTCAACAAGAACACGATTTACCTGTAAATAACCAGCAGATGTAGAGGAGAGTATACTATGTAGCAGTTGGAGGACAACTACTTCCCACCTTCAACAAGAACACGATTTACCTTTAAATAACCAGCAGATGTAGAGGAGAGTATACTATGTAGCAGTTGGAGGACAACTACTTCCCACCTTCAACAAGAACACGATTTACCTTTAAATAACCAGCAGATGTAGAGGAGAGTATACTATGTAGCAGTTGGAGGACAACTACTTCCCACCTTCAACAAGAACACGATTTACCTGTAAATAACCAGCAGATGTAGAGGAGAGTATACTATGTAGCAGTTGGAGGACAACTACTTCCCACCTTCAACAAGAACACGATTTACCTGTAAATAACCAGCAGATGTAGAGGAGAGTATACTATGTAGCAGTTGGAGGACAACTACTTCCCACCTTCAACAAGAACACGATTTACCTGTAAATAACCAGCAGATGTAGAGGAGAGTATACTATGTAGCAGTTGGAGGACAACTACTTCCCACCTTCAACAAGAACACGATTTACCTGTAAATAACCAGCAGATGTAGAGGAGAGTATACTATGTAGCAGTTGGAGGACAACTACTTCCCACCTTCAACAAGAACACGATTTACCTTTAAATAACCAGCAGATGTAGAGGAGAGTATACTATGTAGCAGTTGGAGGACAACTACTTCCCACCTTCAACAAGAACACGATTTACCTTTAAATAACCAGCAGATGTAGAGGAGAGTATACTATGTAGCAGTTGGAGGACAACTACTTCCCACCTTCAACAAGAACACGATTTACCTGTAAATAACCAGCAGATGTAGAGGAGAGTATACTATGTAGCAGTTGGAGGACAACTACTTCCCACCTTCAACAAGAACACGATTTACCTGTAAATAACCAGCAGATGTAGAGGAGAGTATACTATGTAGCAGTTGGAGGACAACTACTTCCCACCTTCAACAAGAACACGATTTACCTTTAAATAACCAGCAGATGTAGAGGAGAGTATACTATGTAGCAGTTGGAGGACAACTACTTCCCACCTTCAACAAGAACACGATTTACCTGTAAATAACCAGCAGATGTAGAGGAGAGTATACTATGTAGCAGTTGGAGGACAACTACTTCCCACCTTCAACAAGAACACGATTTACCTGTAAATAACCAGCAGATGTAGAGAGAGAGTATACTATGTAGCAGTTGGAGGACAACTACTTCCCACCTTCAACAAGAACACGATTTACCTACCTGTAAATAACCAGCAGATGTAGAGGAGAGTATACTATGTAGCAGTTGGAGGACAACTACTTCCCACCTTCAACAAGAACACGATTTACCTGTAAATAACCAGCAGATGTAGAGGAGAGTATACTATGTAGCAGTTGGAGGACAACTACTTCCCACCTTCAACAAGAACACGATTTACCTGTAAATAACCAGCAGATGTAGAGGAGAGTATACTATGTAGCAGTTGGAGGACAACTACTTCCCACCTTCAACAAGAACACGATTTACCTGTAAATAACCAGCAGATGTAGAGGAGAGTATACTATGTAGCAGTTGGAGGACAACTACTTCCCACCTTCAACAAGAACACGATTTACCTGTAAATAACCAGCAGATGTAGAGGAGAGTATACTATGTAGCAGTTGGAGGACAACTACTTCCCACCTTCAACAAGAACACGATTTACCTTTAAATAACCAGCAGATGTAGAGGAGAGTATACTATGTAGCAGTTGGAGGACAACTACTTCCCACCTTCAACAAGAACACGATTTACCTGTAAATAACCAGCAGATGTAGAGGAGAGTATACTATGTAGCAGTTGGAGGACAACTACTTCCCACCTTCAACAAGAACACGATTTACCTTTAAATAACCAGCAGATGTAGAGGAGAGTATACTATGTAGCAGTTGGAGGACAACTACTTCCCACCTTCAACAAGAACACGATTTACCTTTAAATAACCAGCAGATGTAGAGGAGAGTATACTATGTAGCAGTTGGAGGACAACTACTTCCCACCTTCAACAAGAACACGATTTACCTGTAAATAACCAGCAGATGTAGAGGAGAGTATACTATGTAGCAGTTGGAGGACAACTACTTCCCACCTTCAACAAGAACACGATTTACCTGTAAATAACCAGCAGATGTAGAGGAGAGTATACTATGTAGCAGTTGGAGGACAACTACTTCCCACCTTCAACAAGAACACGATTTACCTTTAAATAACCAGCAGATGTAGAGGAGAGTATACTATGTAGCAGTTGGAGGACAACTACTTCCCACCTTCAACAAGAACACGATTTACCTGTAAATAACCAGCAGATGTAGAGGAGAGTATACTATGTAGCATTGGAGGACAACTACTTCCCACCTTCAACAAGAACACGATTTACCTTTAAATAACCAGCAGATGTAGAGGAGAGTATACTATGTAGCAGTTGGAGGACAACTACTTCCCACCTTCAACAAGAACACGATTTACCTGTAAATAACCAGCAGATGTAGAGGAGAGTATACTATGTAGCAGTTGGAGGACAACTACTTCCCACCTTCAACAAGAACACGATTTACCTTTAAATAAATAACCAGCAGATGTAGAGGAGAGTATACTATGTAGCAGTTGGAGGACAACTACTTCCCACCTTCAACAAGAACACGATTTACCTTTAAATAACCAGCAGATGTAGAGGAGAGTATACTATGTAGCAGTTGGAGGACAACTACTTCCCACCTTCAACAAGAACACGATTTTACCTTAAATAACCAGTACATTTCTGTAATCCAAACATACATAAATCCAGTTCGGATTAAAAGTAGACGCAAATGCGTGACCCAGTTGCAGCTTCCACTATCATCATGCAGCTTTAACATTTCATAACATGATATAGGATGTCGATGATCGTCCCTATAGAATATTCTGCACCAACCTTTGATACATCTTCTGTAATATTTAACGCATAATCGTGTTCTACCAATTTCACCAAGTACAGCAATGGCCAATGATACTGGCAAATATTGCTGAAGCAGCTTTCAATGATTGTTTGGAAAATCTTTAAACATTTAAAAAAATAAGTAACGAGGCTTTTTGGTTTGAAGACTTAGTGTTTCCCATGTTTCGTGGTAAAAACAACACCCAGACATTGATTATAGAACCATACATTGTTCTGATTTCTTGAGATATCCACCATTTCTAAATATTGCCATACAATATTTGTCAACATTGACTTCTAAACCCCATTTTGAGCAAACAAGATACAATGTATCCAGTTTTCTTTGGAAGCGCAATAACAGTGTCATCAAGCAAAGTAACATCATCTGCATAAAGCAGTAATAATTCAATCCAACTTTGACAAATATTCCTCTTAATCCAGAATTATTCATTTCATCCACAAGCTCATTGATAAAAAATATAAACAGAGCTGGGCTAAGCATGCAACGTTCCCTTAGATGACGTGTTAAAGATTTCAGATTTCTTATTTCTAACTTTACCACCTTTAGTGAGAAGTACATATGAAAGCGTGTTTCCGAAACCAAAGACTTTTCTAAAAGTTAATAGTTTGTATCCGGACTATTAACTTTTTAAAGTTACCAGTCCGGCTGTCTGGCTTGGAATTGTGGGAGTTTTAAACACTGTCATCATCACTGTCATTCCACATTTTGTACTATTACACTATAAACGTTTGTCTAATCGAAAAGACACCCACGGATAGGAAGAGTTGTCTTTCCTTATACCTCTTCTGAATTAGAGCAGTGAAAAGCAGAAGTTTACAAAATGACTGCTGTTGGCGGGTCGAGTGTTGTGGTAACTCAGTTTGTGTTTCTCTTCCCTCCATAAAAATATTCTAGGAAAATTATTAGTAAACGATTTGGGCCGAGTGATTTTTTACCATGTCTCAAATCAAGGACAATCTGTCCATCATTATCGGCACCCATTTCGTCAATGAAGTGATTTTGAAGAATTGCTTCGAGAAGCATGCAACATTATATTGAAAGTAAACAACACAACAACATGTCACAGGAAGATTTATATTTTACAGCTACAAGTCCAAGCTACATTTTCGAAAAGTTTGCCGCACAGATGTCGAGATCTTGAAGATATCATAAGGACTACCAGTATCAAGGTAACTGGACTTGTGTCTGTTGCCTGAGTCGGTTCGCTGCAAGGATTACTATTCACCCGCTGAATTACGAATTGTTTTTTCCAGACACATATTGTATTAAGTACTGAAAAGTGTGTATTGTGCAAGAGTCACAATTAGCTCGAAATATTAATCAAATTTAAAAAAACGAGTAAGTGTTGTAAGTGCTTTGTTTTACTGGAGTGTGATGAAAGTACTGGAAACAGTTGTCTATCTGAACAGCTTTATGGAAACAGCAAACAAGATGCTGCCTTATATCTGATTGACACAGATGGACATAGATACATGAATGCATCTCTAAAATTAGGAGAATATGTCACCAGAGACCATATGATGTCACAGAGTGGCAATCTGAAGTTGGCTTAGTTTACAGTCCTAAAGAGTAGGTTTTGGAGGACAGTTTGTTCCCCCAACTAATCACTCGATTTCATCGAGACACTTTGTATTCATGACAAAGACCATATGTCATTGGATTCTAAAATCTATGAGAATTCATGGAAGCATGTCCAGCATCTGTGTTTAAAAAATCCATGAAAAATGCATCTCATGCATGAAAAGTGACTTTGTAAACACTATCAACTATGATGAAAAGTTTACTTCAGTATTCCTGATTTTCCAAAATATTCATGATGTTTCAGAACGTTCATTGATGATTGGATTCAAAACAAATATATGTGATCTCTGACATACTATGACTTCTTTGAGTGGCATTTAGAAGCTGGTATGATGAAGACCAACAAGTTTTATGGATATCGTTGTAGATGTAAAATGCTAGGGAGTCGATTCATCATGCTCTAGTGGGTGACTCTGTGCCGATTAGGTTAAATGCTCAACACTCAGTGTTGGATTAAGGGTGATATGTTCTGCTGGGTTAGATGCAGCCATGTATATTGCATGTTTGTGTATGCTATCATTGTATTCAATTATGTGGTTTTAGTTTAAAAAGTCCAAATATATTTAAAGGGGCATCAGTAGGAAAAACAAGATATCTTTTTTACCAATCGATATCAAGCATTTTGTCATGGAGAACTAGTAATGTGTACAAAGTCATAAGATTTATTATGTGTCTACTTTCCAGAGGTCATTTTCAGTAATTTTGCTTTTGCCAAACATGACATTGGATAATGTCATGGAACAGGGAAGTTTTCAGGGATTTGGTATCTGTGAAGAGAATTTATGTATGTTATGGATTTTGAATTTTATTCAACTTCAAGGTGAGGACTGAAAAGGAGGTACTGATATGTCCCGTTGGCATTCAGGGTGTTATAGCGGACCATTAATCAACTGCCCTTTTTTGGCTAGCTTACCTGTTCATCAGCTGTAACACCTGTGAAGGTCCTGGTTAGAATGAACCTTCAAAAACCCGTGCTTGTCGTAAGAGGCGACTAACATTATCGGGTTGTCAGGCTTGCTGATTTGGTTGACACATGTCATCGGTTCCCATTTGCGCAGGTCGATGTACATGCTGTTGATCACTGGATTGTCTGGTCCAGACTTGATTATTTACAGACCGCCACCATATAGCTGGAATATTGCTGAGTGCGGCGTAAAACTAAACTCACTCACTCATCAGCTGTATCAGTGACATTCATAATTTTTCTTAAGCAAGGGTGTATAGTAGGATGCAGCACATAGTACTTCACAAAGTTCCCTAGAAGCTCCTCTCCAGACCTCTCCCACCACCACAACAGAATTGGATTGCGATTGCGGTAATTGCGATGGTTTTATCATCATGTATTGCAAACTTTGAGACAGTATCCAGATTTCCTAAATTTGATAGTACATAATTAAGTAATACTCTTTTGTTTAGTATTTTGTCTCCTGTTCTTTTGCAGGAACTTCGTCATGCTTTGCCATATATCATTGAAAATATGTTTGGCTTTGGCAATGAGAATGGATGGGGCATAGACAAGATTGACAAACACAACCATCCTCAGGAGTTTGAATGCCTTCGACGATTTCTGGCACCAGAGAGTCAACTTCTGAACCTCATCTACCGGTTACAAGGGGAAATATACCTGTCCTATGAATTCCCCTTCAAATACTTACCAGTTAGTATTTTAGTGTTAATATTTTACTGTATGATTGATAGATAATCAATGTATTAAGCGTTGCATGGCCATGCAGTCCGAGATACACTCACACAAGTGTTGAGTGTTGCCTGACTGTATAGTCCTAGATATACTCACACAAGTGTCAAGTGTTACCTTACCATACAGTCCTAGATACACTCACACAAGTGTCAAGTGTTAGCTGACCATACAATAGTTAATACACTTACACAAGTGTCAAGTGTTGCCTGACTGTACAGTCCTAGATACACTCACACAAGTGTCAAGTGTTACCTTACCATACAGTCCTAGATACACTCACACAAGTGTCAAGTGTTAGCTGACCATACAATAGTTAATACACTCACACAAGTGTCAAGTGTTACCTGACCGTACAGTCCTAGATACACTCACACAAGTGTCAAGTGTTACCTGACTGTACAGTCCTAGATACACTTACACAAGTGTCAAGTGTTGCCTGACTGTACAGTCCTAGATACACTCACACAAGTGTCAAGTGTTACCTTACCATACAGTCCTAGATACACTCACACAAGTGTCGAGTGTTGCCTGACTGTACAGTCCTAGATACACTCACACAAGTGTCAAGTGTTGCCTGACTGTACAGTCCTAGATACACTTACACAAGTGTCAAGTGTTGCCTGACTGTACAGTCCTAGATACACTCACACAAGTGTCAAGTGTTACCTTACCATACAGTCCTAGATACACTCACACAAGTGTCAAGTGTTAGCTGACCATACAATAGTTAATACACTCACACAAGTGTCAAGTGTTACCTGACCGTACAGTCCTAGATACACTCACACAAGTGTCAAGTGTTACCTGACTGTACAGTCCTAGATACATACACTTACACAAGTGTCAAGTGTTGCCTGACTGTACAGTCCTAGATACACTCACACAAGTGTCAAGTGTTACCTTACCATACAGTCCTAGATACACTCACACAAGTGTCAAGTGTTACCTGACCATACAATAGTTAATACACTCACACAAGTGTCAAGTGTTACCTGACTGTACAGTCCTAGATACACTCACACAAGTGTCAAGTGTTACCTGACCATACAATAGTTAATACACTCACACAAGTGTCAAGTGTTACCTGACCGTACAGTCCTAGATACACTCACACAAGTGTCGAGTGTTGCCTGACCGTGCAGTCCTAGATATACTCACACAAGTGTCGAGTGTTGCCTGACCGTGCAGTCCTAGATATACTCACACAAGTGTCGAGTGTTGCCTGACCGTGCAGTCCTAGATATACTCACACAAGTGTCGAGTGTTGCCTGACCGTGCAGTCCTAGATACACTCACACAAGTGTCGAGTGTTGCCTGACCGTGCAGTCCTAGATATACTCACACAAGTGTCGAAAGTGTTGCCTGACCGAGCAGTCCTAGATATACACTCACACAAGTGTCGAAAGTGTTGCCTGACCGTGCAGTCCTAGATACACTCACACAAGTGTCGAGTGTTGCCTGACCGTGCAGTCCTAGATACACTCACACAAGTGTCGAGTGTTGCCTGACTGAGCAGTCCTAGATATACTCACACAAGTGTCGAGTGTTGCCTGACCGTGCAGTCCTAGATACACTCACACAAGTGTCGAGTGTTGCCTGACCGTGCAGTCCTAGATACACTTACACAAGTGTCGAGTGTTGCCTGACCGTGCAGTCCTAGATATACTCACACAAGTGTCAAGTGGTGCCTGACTGTACAGTCCTAGATACACTCACACAAGTGTCGAAAGTGTTCCCCTGACCGATGCAGTCCTAGATATACTCACACAAGTGTCGTCGAAGTGTTGCCTGACCGTGCAGTCCTAGATACACTCACACAAGTGTCGAAAGTGTTGCCTGACCGTGCAGTCCTAGATATACTCACACAAGTGTCGATACACTGACCGCAAGTGTCGAAGTGTTGCCTGACCGAAAGCAGTCCTAGATATACTCACACAAGTGTCGAAGTGTGCCTGCCTGACCGTGCAGTCCTAGATACACTCACACAAGTGTCGAAAGTGTTGCCTGACCGTGCAGTCCTAGATACACTCACACAAGTGTCGAAAGTGTTGCCTGACCGCGAGCAGTCCTAGATATACTCACACAAGTGTCGAAAGTGTTGCCTGACCGTGCAGTCCTAGATACACTCACACAAGTGTCGAGTGTTGCCTGACCGTGCAGTCCTAGATACACTTACACAAGTGTCGAGTGTTGCCTGACCGTGCAGTCCTAGATATACTCACACAAGTGTCAAGTGGTGCCTGACTGTACAGTCCTAGATACACTCACACAAGTGTCGAGTGTTCCCTGACCGTGCAGTCCTAGATATACTCACACAAGTGTCGAGTGTTGCTTGACCGTGCAGTCCTAGATACACTCACACAAGTGTCGGGTAAAGTGTTGCCTGACCGTGCAGTCCTAGATACACTCACACAAGTGTCGAGTGTTGCCTGACCGTGCAGTCCTAGATACACTGACACAAGTGTCGAGTGTTGCCTGACCGTGCAGTCCTAGATATACTCACACAAGTGTCGAGTGTTACCATACAGTCCTAGATATACTCACACATATACTCCACACAGAGTGTCGAAAGTGTTACCTGATACAGTCCTAGATATACTCACACAAGTGTCGAAAGTGTTGCCTGACTGTACAGTCCTAGATACACTCACACAAGTGTCGAGTGTTCCCTGACCGTGCAGTCCTAGATATACTCACACAAGTGTCGAGTGTTGCCTGACCGAGCAGTCCTAGATACACTCACACAAGTGTCGAGTGTTGCCTGACCGTGCAGTCCTAGATATACTCACACAAGTGTCGAGTGTTACCATACAGTCCTAGATATACTCACACAAGTGTCGAGTGTTACCATACAGTCCTAGATATACTCACACAAGTGTCGAGTGTTGCCTGACCGTGCAGTCCTAGATATACTCACACAAGTGTCGAGTGTTGCCAGACCGTGCAGTCCTAGATATACTCACACAAGTGTCGAGTGTTGCCTGACCGTGCAGTCCTAGATACACTCACACAAGTGTCGAGTGTTGCCTGACCGTGCAGTCCTAGATATACTCACACAAGTGTCGAGTGTTACCATACAGTCCTAGATATACTCACACAAGTGTCGAGTGTTACCATACAGTCCTAGATATACTCACACTAAACTACCATGAAATCCAAGATAGATATACTGAACATCCAAGGAGGCTGTGATCAAAAAGTTTTTTTTACAACTGTGTATTTTCTCCAGGCTCCGACTCGGCAGATGATGGAGGAAGGGATGATGCCAGCATTTTTTGTCAACAAGTTACAGGCACAAGGACACACTGGCCAGACTTTCCTCTCCCTCGATATCCTTACACACTAGAGGAACTGTACGTTTCCCTGTCGCAATATTGCAGCTGTGTGGCAGTAAGCTAGACTATGACTGGAACCTGCGACTGACAGCCTGACAAGTGGTCACAGTGTTTTAGATATTGACAGGCATTATCCATTCAATGAGCCTGATAGTGTTGTCCAGCTCTTATGACAAGTATAGATTCCTGAACACCAGTTCTAACTAATATTTCTCATTACTGGATCAGCATATATATTTGCTTTGCTTTTGGGTACTGCATTCCTTTGGTTATAACACTAGATGTAAATAGGATGTCAACAAGATAGCACAACACTGGGGGCTACCTCCAGCTGTCATGTCCTCAGTCACTGCTTGATTCCACACCACCAAAAACAAATTTGTAAATTTATCTCCAGTGTTCGAGTTAACACAAAAACCTGCATAATTCATGCAAATAAGTCTACATTTTACGCATGAAAGTTTCTACCTGCATGTTCTGCTTGCAAAGCATTTTGCTTCCTTAATTCTCATGATACTCTTATGTAACGTCTGTTTGATATGGTAAAGATCCACAGGTTCATAAATAGTGTCCTCGCCAGATGGCGTGCAAAACTCCGAACCATACATGTATGACCATATATGTCACATATGTTCATAATACATATTCGCTATTCGGAGATTGCATTTCTGAGTCACGTGTTGTGTGCCATATCTCCCCGAGTCACGTGTTGTGTGCCACATCTCCCCGAGTCACGTGTTGTGTGCCACATCTCCCCGAGTCACGTGTTGTGTGCCACATCTCCCCGTTATCATAGTTGAAAATGGCTATTAAACTGAATTATTTATGAAACTATACAACTTGTTGAATGGATGAAAGTTAGCTGATCCTTCTTCAAAATAATGACAATGACTTGTGAACATGTGAAGCGATTTTTGCGAAATGATGTGGAAACAAGGGCCATTGTCAGCTATGAAACGTAAAGACACAAGGGCAGTTAGATTTCTGAAACTTTCCGGCCATCTATATACGTCTTCCTTAACTGTCATCACGTGCATTCGAGTACTTTGTGTTCCATCTTGCATACTGCCTGGTCAACCCCTCGCACTCGTGCCCTTCCTGGGCCAACCTCTATGACTACCTGTATCCCAACATCATCGACAGCTACATCAGCTACTACTTGCCTCTGGACAACAAGATGATTCCGCCAATGCCTAATGTCCCCTCTCCGGTACGAAGCCCGGTGTCTCATTACACAGTGCCCAGGTGAGTCGAGTTAACCTACCCTACCACTGACATACACAGTGTCACATTACACAGTGCCCAGGTGAGTCGAGTTAACCTACCCTACCACTGACATACACAGTGTCACATTACACAGTGCCCAGGTGAGTCGAGTTAACCTCCCCACACATTAGACAGTGTCGAGGTAAGACATGTTAACCTCCCCACACATAAGACAGTGTCCAGGTAAGACATGTTAACCTCCCCACATTTTAGACAGTGTCCAGGCAAGACAAGTTAACCTTTCCACACATTAGACAGTGTCCAGGCAAGACAAGTTAACCTCCCCACTTATTAGACAGTGTCCAGGCAAGACAAGTTAACCTCCCCACTTATTAGACAGTGTCCAGGCAAGACAAGTTAACCTTTGCACACATTAGACAATGTCCAGGTAAAACAAGTTAACCTTTCCACATATCCATCAGTAGAGGATGTGGTGACGATCCAACAGGACGTCTGTGATGCTGTTATTGTTAAATACGAATATGTCTCTCTAACGCTTGATTTGCCTTTTTCCTTGACACTTGTTTCTGATCCAGAGGTTTAATTGAATAAACAAATTTAAAATAGTGATCTGCCGAAGGGCCAGCTGAAAGTGTTGTCTCCCCTGATAGGTGCAGGAAACTTCATAATTATCCCACGCGACGCGTTTTGGGTATGATATTATTTTAGACTCCATGTGTCTGTGCAAATTCGTCTTTACAGGGCAGAACATAACAACCATTCAATATTTCTTCACCAAACATGGCACAGAAATAGGTCTGGTGGTGAACAGGTGCCTTTTGGTAGATTTGGATTTCTGAATAAAATAATTTGTTTGCGTTTCCATGACAACAAGTTTGGCTTCGACTGAAATTGGTGTCTGTGCTCTTTTCTGGAGCAGAACAATGTAACATTTGACATAGTCATAACTAGTTGACATTCATGAAGAGTTTTTAACCATTGCGGGGAATATTGATGACTCTGTCTTCTTGTGTTTCTTGTGGCGCACATAATCACATCTGCTTACTTGCTCTCTGTTAATGTTTTTCAAAACTTCCCAGGTTCAAATTTTCAGATTTGATTATCTGATGGGTAAATCTAAGGGCTCTACATATTTTGTCTTCCTAACCTTCAGGCACTAAAAGCTATGGTAAATGTGGCAAATTGATATCTCATCACGATCCCTCATGATCAATGTTGGGAGTGTGTAGATTCACCATGTTCCTTTGTCACCAGATGCGGCTTCTGCTAATTTTTATCACCAGTGGCCTGTGAAAGATATTATATGGTGATTAAAAAAGGACAGGATACAAAATTGGCTAAGAAATGTCAGATAATGCCTATCATGATCACAGCTGATGTACTGGACAGACCGGCAGAGGTTCAAGCACACTTGGGGGAGTTAGACCACCTCCCTGTCATGATCACAGCTGATGTACTGGACAGACCGGCAGAGGTTCAAGCTAACTTGGGCGAGTTAGACCACCTCCCTGTCATGATCACAGCTGATGTATTGGACAGACCGGCAGAGGTTCAAGCACACTTGGGCGAGTTAGACCACCTCCCTGTCATGATCACAGCTGATGTATTGGACAGACTGGCAGAGGTTCAAGCTAACTTGGGCGAGTTAGACCACCTCCCTGTCATGATCACAGCTGATGTACTGGACAGACCCGGCAGAGGTTCAAGCACACTTAAGTGAGTTAGACCACCTCCCTGTCATGATCACAGCTGATGTATTGGACAGACTGGCAGAGGTTCAAGCTAACTTGGGCGAGTTAGACCACCTCCCTGTCATGATCACAGCTGATGTACTGGACAGACCGGCAGAGGTTCAAGCACACTTGGGCGAGTTAGACCACCTCCCTGTCATGATCACAGCTGATGTATTGGACAGACTGGCAGAGGTTCAAGCTAACTTGGGCGAGTTAGACCACCTCCCTGTCATGATCACAGCTGATGTACTGGACAGACCGGCAGAGGTTCAAGCACACTTGGGGAGTTAGACCACCTCCCTGTCATGATCACAGCTGATGTACTGGACAGACCGGCAGAGGTTCAAGCTAACTTGGGCGAGTTAGACCACCTCCCTGTCATGATCACAGCTGATGTACTGGACAGACCGGCAGAGGTTCAAGCTAACTTGGGCGAGTTAGACCACCTCCCTGTCATGATCACAGCTGATGTACTGGACAGACTGGCAGAGGTTCAAGCTAACTTGGGCGAGTTAGACCACCTCCCTGTCATGATCACAGCTGATGTACTGGACAGACCGGCAGAGGTTCAAGCACACTTGGGGGAGTTAGACCACCTCCCTGTCATGATCACAGCTGATGTACTGGACAGACCGGCAGAGGTTCAAGCTAACTTGGGCGAGTTAGACCACCTCCCTGTCATGATCACAGCTGATGTATTGGACAGACCGGCAGAGGTTCAAGCTTACTTGGGCGAGTTAGACCACCTCCCTGTCATGATCATAAAATAATACTGACCTCCGGCTTGGGACCTCTCCATCATCCTTCGTCATCTTGTCTCCAGTGATTACGAACCATGCATGAAATAGAGTTTGAGCGCATTACTTTCAAGACCTTCCTCGTAGCTGTGGCTACTGCAGCTCGAATATCAGAACTTCATGCATTAGAGGTTAATTGTGTAAGGTTCAAGCGGAAGAAGCATGGCAAGGTTTTTCTGGGTCTCCGTTGGGACTTTGTTGCAAAGAACCAGTTACCAGGGCAACCAGACCTGATGTTCACTATCCCTCCCTTGTCCGCAAGGGTCCTGATGACACTGAATATTTGGCGCTTTGTCCTGTCAGGGCGCTTAGTATCTACCTCGCTACTTCACAAGATCATGGAAGACTCAGGAAGCAACTATTCCTCCCGCTGTCTGCAGCCCCCATAGCCGAAGTTTCCTGGACTACCTTGTCCTGCTGTCTGCAGCCCCCATAGCCGAAGTTTCCTGGACTACCTTGTCCTTCTGCTGTCTGCAGCCCCCATAGCCGAAGTTTCCTGGACTACCTTGTCCTCCCGCTGTCTGCAGCCCCCATAGCCGAAGTTTCCTGGACTACCTTGTCCTTCTGCTGTCTGCAGCCCCCATAGCCGAAGTTTCCTGGACTACCTTGTCCTTCTGCTGTCTGCAGCCCCCATAGCCGAAGTTTCCTGGACTACCTTGTCCTCCCGCTGTCTGCAGCCCCCATAGCCGAAGTTTCCTGGACTACCTTGTCCTTCTGCTGTCTGCAGCCCCCATAGCCGAAGTTTCCTGGACTACCTTGTCCTTCTGCTGTCTGCAGCCCCCATAGCCGAAGTTTCCTGGACTACCTTGTCCTTCTGCTGTCTGCAGCCCCCATAGCCGAAGTTTCCTGGACTACCTTGTCCTTCTGCTGTCTGCAGCCCCCATAGCCGAAGTTTCCTGGACTACCTTGTCCTTCTGCTGTCTGCAGCCCCCATAGCCGAAGTTTCCTGGACTACCTTGTCCTTCTGCTGTCTGCAGCCCCCATAGCCGAAGTTTCCTGGACTACCTTGTCCTTCTGCTGTCTGCAGCCCCATAGCCGAAGTTTCCTGGACTACCTTGTCCTGCTGTCTGCAGCCCCCATAGCCGAAGTTTCCTGGACTACCTTGTCCTTCTGCTGTCTGCAGCCCCCATAGCCGAAGTTTCCTGGACTACCTTGTCCTGCTGTCTGCAGCCCCCATAGCCGAAGTTTCCTGGACTACCTTGTCCTTCTGCTGTCTGCAGCCCCCATAGCCGAAGTTTCCTGGACTACCTTGTCCTTCTGCTGTCTGCAGCCCCCATAGCCGAAGTTTCCTGGACTACCTTGTCCTTCTGCTGTCTGCAGCCCCCATAGCCGAAGTTTCCTGGACTACCTTGTCCTTCTGCTGTCTGCAGCCCCCATAGCCGAAGTTTCCTGGACTACCTTGTCCTGCTGTCTGCAGCCCCCATAGCCGAAGTTTCCTGGACTACCTTGTCCTTCTGCTGTCTGCAGCCCACATAGCCTTGAAGTTTCCTGGACTACCTTGTCCTGCTGTCTGCAGCCCCCATAGCCGAAGTTTCCTGGACTACCTTGTCCTTCTGCTGTCTGCAGCCCCCATAGCCGAAGTTTCCTGGACTACCTTGTCCTGCTGTCTGCAGCCCCCATAGCCGAAGTTTCCTGGACTACCTTGTCCTTCTGCTGTCTGCAGCCCCCATAGCCTAAGTTTCCTGGACTACCTTGTCCTTCTGCTGTCTGCAGCCCCCATAGCGAAGTTTCCTGGACTACCTTGTCCTTCTGCTGTCTGCAGCCCCCATAGCCGAAGTTTCCTGGACTACCTTGTCCTTCTGCTGTCTGCAGCCCCCATAGCCGAAGTTTCCTGGACTACCTTGTCCCGCTGTCTGCAGCCCCCATAGCCGAAGTTTCCTGGACTACCTTGTCCTTCTGCTGTCTGCAGCCCCCATAGCCGAAGTTTCCTGGACTACCTTGTCCTTCTGCTGTCTGCAGCCCCCATAGCCGAAGTTTCCTGGACTACCTTGTCCGCTGTCTGCAGCCCCCATAGCCAAGTTTCCTGGACTACCTTGTCCTTCTGCTGTCTGCAGCCCCCATAGCCGGAAGTTTCCTGGACTACCTTGTCCCGCTGTCTGCAGCCCCCATAGCCCGAAGTTTCCTGGACTACCTTGTCCTTCTGCTGTCTGCAGCCCCCATAGCCGAAGTTTCCTGGACTACCTTGTCCTTCTGCTGTCTGCAGCCCCCATAGCCGAAGTTTCCTGGACTACCTTGTCCTTCTGCTGTCTGCAGCCCCCATAGCCGAAGTTTCCTGGACTACCTTGTCCTTCTGCTGTCTGCAGCCCCCATAGCCGAAGTTTCCTGGACTACCTTGTCCTTCTGCTGTCTGCAGCCCCCATAGCCGAAGTTTCCTGGACTACCTTGTCCTGCTGTCTGCAGCCCCCATAGCCGAAGTTTCCTGGACTACCTTGTCCTCCCGCTGTCTGCAGCCCCCATAGCCGAAGTTTCCTGGACTACCTTGTCCTTCTGGATGCATTCAATGATTCTTCAGGCCTACACTCACGCCGTTCTACCCCCTCCAGCCACTTCTAATCAACACGTGCATTAGCTTCCACCATGGCATTGCATAGCAACTGTTTCTTGGCATCGATCAAGGAGGACTGTTTCTGGAGGTCTGATACAGCCTTCTCATCACACTACCTACAAGACCTTTCCGTCACTGATGTTGATGGTCTTCATCAGTATGGTCCTTTGGGGCTGTCACAGCAGCTGTCTTCGGCCCACCAACGCAGATAGAGAAGGGACTTGTTCCGCACTGCTTCCTTGTACATACTGAATAAAGTCTGAATCCAACTTCATCGTTTGTTCTACCACATGGGCTTAGATCTTCCTCACCTGGTTCAACACTAGGGAATTCAGTACAGCGCCCGGTCATGGCTTCCTCATACTCCCTCAGCCATACTTTGTACTACAATGCAGAGGTGATTGCTACTCTGACCTCGATTCATCAGAGCAATTACATCAGTGAAGTGTGAATTGCAGAATTCCAGAGGATTTTGATGTGTTCTGATCCTAAGGTGCTGGACACATCCTTGACTAAGCTTAGGCAAAGGAGCGGGGTCATTCGATGTCTTTTCGGAGCGTTAAAACAGTGAGCTTTCCAAGTTGTTTCCCCTTTCACCCTCTAATTGACGATGTCTGCAGGGGTGATCTTGAAGCAGGGGCTGTCCAGATTAAGGTCGAGAGATCTTAATTCAAAGGGGCTTTCTGTAAATTTGGGCAAGACGTGGTTTACTTGCCGAGTTCCATCCCTTTGTCTCTGTACGAAGGTTACGGCGGAAAACCACTTTTCCCGGGAGCACCCATCTCCCTGGGAGTTTTGTGCTTAGTATGCCAAGGCATTACGTGGATCAACCAATCACAAGCATAGGAGTTACGTCATCGCGGGATTTGTAACAGGCCTCACTTGTGCGTCACTATCTACGGTTGTCTACAGTTACACGGCACCTGCCATCTGCACTATTTGATTCAGGGTAATCTGCACCCGCCGTGTAACCATGGGATAAGTAAAAGACACCAGAAAGCATAAGTTTAAAAATTTGGAAATCTTAACTATAAATTGTATATTCATATACTTATAGTATCTCAAGCGATGGATGCCTTGATTACGACTTTGTTCCAAGAACGAAGATGATGAGAGAAGGGTGGTCACGTGAGCAGGTAGGACAAGAGAGGCCAATATTGGGTTTACAGTTTTGGTTCCTCTCAGTTGGTCGAATTAAAGAGAGGGAGTACAAGACGTGAGATAGGAAAAGTATATTTCTATACACTTTATAGTTAAAATTTCCAATTTTCAGCGCTTGTCAGGGGAGACAACTCCTTCCGAATGCACTTGGAAGAAATGAGTGAGTGGGTGAGTTGGGTTTTACACCACTTTTAGCAATATTCCAGCAATATCATGGCAGGGTACACCAGAAATGCGCTACACACAATGTACCTATGTGGGGAATCAAACCCGGGTCTTCGAACTCTTTAACCAGTGGGTTACAACACCGCTTCATTCAGAAGAAAAACACAACTTGATGGATTTAGGTTTTGTATTCAAGTAAGCCTGTGGATCAGAAACAAGTTTCAGTAGAAAATGATAAATCAGGTGTTACAGGTAGTATTCTAAGTATTATTATCATTGTCAGTAATACTAAATTTGTAAGAATTGGCTAGTGAAGACAGATCGTCAGACGTTCTAAAAATCTGCTATTCAATTATTTGAATAATTTTCTTCCTTTATTGAACTACAGATGTGTAATATGTTGCCCAGTTATATTGCAGTCCTTTGTCAATTTGTGGTATATATAATTCACTCACTCACTCTCCATATCTCCAGTTCCTACACAGGCCATTCAGTGAGCCCAAGCACCACGCCTCCGAGACATCGCACACGGCCAAGCCTATTCAAGTCCGGTTTCACTGCTGTACAGAAACCACACGTGCAGGGATCACCTGTACTGGACCAGACCGAGGCTGAGACCTGGCGGTCAGAAACACTGCTTCAGGTAGGATACTATATACTAAACTCTGAATGCCTACTGAAAATATCAACTTAAAAAAAAGTATTTAATGATGGCGCTTTCATCAATTGACTCTATGTTTATATGTGTGGTGTGTACTGTACTGAGAAAGTTCATGATCTGCTCACTATACAATGGACATTGTTTACATGTTTGTTACATTAGCAACAAGTCAGTCCTCTATTTTCCACCAAAGATGTTGTGTTTGCAGGGTGCACATGTCAGAAAATGTTAACTGGGAGCTGATACCACATGAGTGACATTTATGGTTATATTTACAAATGTTGAAGTCAGTGTCTCACAACATATGCTGAGCTCTAAAATCAACTTTAAAATAATTATGTATCACTACAAACTGTTTAAACTTTGAATTTTTTTTGCATGGTGGATGTTTTTGAGGGTACGTTAGTGAAAACTCTTGTACTAGTGCTGCCTTACTCAAAGGCAAATATTATCTAATGTACTATTGTCAGGTCTCTGAATGTTGTCTAATTTAGTGGCCGAACAGATGATTTGTGTTTCTTTTTTTAGATGACAAAATAGTATGAGTAAATAAATTTAATGCAGGTGATACTTCTGATGTGTAACAGTTAAGATGTACACAATTTTGAATCACACTAAATGTATGTTGATATCGATGACCACTTTAGGAAAGTATATTGGAATTGTGTCATAGTTCAAACCCCACAATTGTCCCTCAAGGTCAGACATGTTTTTTTATTGCTAGTTTTTCACTTGTTCACCTGTGACTGAATCGTGCTTTCTGCTTCAGGTGTTGGCTGAGTTTTGGTTGAATCAGAATCCAGTTGACAACGAAAAGGCTTCCTTTCCTCATGCATCCTTTGTAAGTATGTCTGCTGTGATGTTAGTTTGTCAGGGTTAAAGTAGACAGTGTCCATGCAATGTCAGCTAGTGTGTCTGCTGTGATCTTAGTATTGTCAGGGTTACAGTGGACAGTGTCCATGCAATGGCAGCTAGTGTGTCTGCTGTGATCTTAGTATTGTCAGGGTTACAGTGGACAGTGTCCATGCAATGTCTGCTGTGCTCTTAGTTTGTCAGGGTGACAGTAGACAGTGTCCATGCAATGTCAGCTAGTGTGTCTGGGTCATTCTCAAAAAAAGGCCAAATTCGTGCTATGAAAAATATGAAAATACAAAGCATCATACTGAATTATCTCATAATTGTTATGAATGGTCAACACCTTAAAGAATGCGGTCATGATAATTTGCACACAGGAAAGTAATAAAATATTTTTAAAATATACTTTTTTAAAGTATCCACTGGAAAAAGCCGTCAGTGGTGTAACAAGCATAAAAGTATTCTTTTTTCAAACTTTGATGTCAGATAAGGAATTTTTCACATTTGTCATTATTTACAAACTTTTTCTATTTTCAAGTATAAATTAAATCGTTTCATTATTCTCACATATTTAATTGTAAATTTGGCAAAAAGGGCTTGGTGTGAGAAGAATGTAATGGTAACATATGATATTTTTTCTGAAATAACTTGTATACCTAAGACTGATCATGTTTTATGTATACAGTGCTATTAAAGCTGTTTTAAGTTATCATAAAATATCAGTCTAACTGTTAAATTATTCTTTTGAAATAATTAAATGTTAGCAAATATGCATGTTACACCACTGATATATTTTGATATCCTGCCTGTTACACCACTGAACTTTCTGCAACTTACTGGAACAGTAAACCAAATCAACAGCCATATGATGCTTTGGATTACTTAATAATCATCATTTGAGAACAGCTTTCCAATATGTGGCGTTGGAAAATAAATGATATCAACAGTTAAGATTAAAATGTACAAATTCAAAGAGTACTGTGACACCAATGACATTTTGTGTTACACCACTGATTTTCTTTACCTCACTCTAAATATAAATCCAAATTACTTGCCTTTAATTGATAATTAACAGATTTAAACAGCTCAACAGCAAATTCTGAACACTCAGATTTTAAAGGTTTTTAAAAATAATATACAAAATCAATAAACTGAACAAATAGTAGTAATATTGTTACACCAATGACATTTTTGTTACACCACTGATTTTTATTGAATTAACTTCAACGATAAATTCAAATTAATTGCCTTTAATTGATCATTAATATAATTGAACAGCTCAATAGCAACTTTTGAACACTCAGATTTTAAAAGGTTTTTCAAAAATAATATTAAAAACAATAAAATGAACATATTGTAGTAATACTGTTACACCAATGACATTTTTTGTTACACCACTGATTTTTCTGAACTTTATATACTAATATACCAGAACAAATTACCTTCACAGACTTTACATGAGTTAATGGTAATAAAATATACTGGATAAATACAATGCAAAGCAGTTGAGTTTTGTGAACAAGTGACTTAAATGAACATTTTGTCAGTGGTGTAACAGAAATTGTCAGTGGCGTAACATTTTCCCATGTTATACCACTGACAGTTACACCACTGACCTATTCCCACTTTTATGAACTTTATAACAATTAATGCTTCCTAATCACAGACCACCTGGCATAAATGTTGATGTTTTAGCAACTTTGATGTACTTTAGATAAACATTGTTATGAAAAAGAACACATGAATAAGAAATCAGCGTTACACCACTGGACGCGATAAAAGTTATGATATGAAGTAGACTCACCAACTGCATCAAACTTCAACATCAAAATAAAATTTGGCCTCCAGAAAACTTCTGCCACGAGAAGAAAGTCATCAGCAAAGGGACCATTTAGTGTTTCATATTTTTTACTCAAACGAGATAATTATTAATGTCACATGTTTATATTCGTTACACCACTGACTGTGACATTTTGGACAATCATTGTTTTCATTGTAAATATGTGATTTTCATTTTGTTTTCAATATTTCATGCAGGAATGTGTTTTTAATATTGGTGTTTCATTATAAATCTTTAAAAAATATGTATAAATACCCTGGAATTTAAACTTTATGGTGCTGCAAAGTAATGTCGCTGTCCACTGACAGTGGTTTTTCTTTCAAAATGATGATAAAAACCCAATTTTGTCCCAAAAATAACAAACAGGTACACTATTTTACATCATTATGAGGAACAAAATACATTTTTCTTTCATAATATGATTTTTGAAAATAATTTGAAACAATATTTTCAGAGCAATGTGTTACTGACCAAAAGTTGGGCAAATTTTGAGAATGACCCGTCTGCTGTGATCTTAGTATTGTCAGGGTGATAGTAGACAGTGTCCATGCAATGTCAGCTAGTGTGTCTGCTGTGATCTTAGTATTGTCAGGGTTACAGTGGACAGTGTCCATGCAATGTCTGCTGTGCTCTTAGTTTGTCAGGGTGACAGTAGACAGTGTCCATGCAATGTCAGCTAGTGTGTCTGCTGTGCTCTTAGTTTGTCAGGGTGACAGTAGACAGTGTCCATGCAATGTCAGCTAGTGTGTCTGCTGTGATCTTAGTTTGTCAGGGTTACAGTAGACAGTGTCCATGCAATGTCAGCTAGTGTGTCTGCTGTGCTCTTAGTTTGTCAGGGTGACAGTAGACAGTGTCCATGCAATGTCAGCTAGTGTGTCTGCTGTGATCTTAGTATTGTCAGGGTTACAGTGGACAGTGTCCATGCAATGTCAGCTAGTGTGTCTGCTGTGCTCTTAGTTTGTCAGGGTGATAGTAGACAGTGTCCATGCAATGTCAGCTAGTGTGTCTGCTGTGATCTTAGTATTGTCAGGGTGACAGTGGACAGTGTCCATGCAATGTCTGCTGTGCTCTTAGTTTGTCAGGGTGACAGTAGACAGTGTCCATGCAATGTCAGCTAGTGTGTCTGCTGTGCTCTTAGTTTGTCAGGGTCACAGTAGACAGTGTCCATGCAATGTCAGCTAGTGTGTCTGCTGTGATCTTAGTTTGTCAGGGTTACAGTGGACAGTGTCCATGCAATGTCAGCTAGTGTGTCTGCTGTGCTCTTAGTTTGTCAGGGTGACAGTAGACAGTGTCCATGCAATGTCAGCTAGTGTGTCTGCCGTGATCTTAGTATTGTCAGGGTGACAGTAGACAGTGTCCATGCGATGTCAGCTAGTGTGTCTGCTGTGCTCTTAGTATTGTCAGGGTTACAGTAGACAGTGTCCATGCAATGTCAGCTAGTGTGTCTGCTGTGATCTTAGTATTGTCAGGGTGACAGTAGACAGTGTCCATGCAATGTCAGCTAGTGTGTCTGCTGTGATCTTAGTATTGTCAGGGTGACAGTAGACAGTATCCATGCAACGTCTGCCTTTGTGTCTGTTACCTTCAAGGTCACCACGACACTGACCACTTTTCAAACTCTTGTTAACGTGACATCTCATGGACTCTTGTACCCAGTGTCTTCAAATTTGGTGACAGCCTACATTGGGGGATCATGCAGACACCAATTGATTTGGGTGACCTTGACCTTATCTTCAAGGTCATCTTGACATTTTGACCACTTTTCAAACTTATGTAAACGCGATACCTGATAAAACATTGCACCCAATGTTTTCAATTATGTTGACAGGCTGCATGGGGTGATTTGCAGACACCAGTCATTTCAGGCATCTTGTATGTGACCAAAAAATCAAAAGAAGTAAATATGTTATAGATATTCCATTCTTTAGTGGCAGGGGACATTGCCATATCAGTGGCAAACACTTGTTCTCATTGTTTTCAGAGCGTGTTGGGTATGCAGATACAAAGTATCTGAGGACAAGCCACACCTTCCGTGGTCTTCATGTTGTTCTTCAGCCTGTAGCCATAGCTTCAGGTGTAATTATTGTGCCCATTTATCTGATCTTGAATTAAATAATTATCTATTATTCCTGTTGAGGGAAAAGATGGACAAGAAAGGTGGGGAAAGTACTAAATCATCAGCTGAGAAGTCTCAAAAACAAGCCCCTGAACATGAGTTTGTTCCATTACTTTCCCCCGGGGATGAGATTATACCCTTGAATGCTACCTAGATTCATTTGACTCCATCCACTATGGAGCTTCTCTCATGGGATCCTCCTTAGGTAGTAATTACCCCAGAGCCTGTTTCGTAGTCATCCCGTTCTGAGTCCTCTTTTGGGGCAGGATCAGGTCTCCAGAAGCTGGTTAAGATGAAGAAATCATCTCATAAGAAGTCTTCTTCTAGGACATCTTAAGCTGTATGGGCAGACCAAGATGACCTGGAAGCCGCAGCAGTCAGCTGTCTATGGTGCAGTCAATCTCTCCTTCATGCATCCTCCGCCGGTGTCAGAACCCGAATCAGACAGCCCCCTGTTAACACAGACGATCTAGTAGACGTCATGCGTGCAAGCGCAGATCCTCCCTCGGACGCAGACCTTCACGCAGCTGTCGACCCAGACTTCACCTTGGCACGGGTGGCCTTCAAGCAACCCTCCTCTGGTCATCTGCAGTCCCTGGTGCAGCCACAGATGTTCATGCAGACACAGCCTCGTCCTCAGAATCAATCCTTTGCACAGGCTCAACCCTTCACACATCAGCCCGTGATGCAGACACAGACGCAAGCCTTTGTGCAGCAAACTGGTGGCATCCATAACCAAGCAAGTCCTCTTAGCCAAGCAGCAGCAGCAGCTTATCCCAGCACCTACAGAGATCGACAGGCCGCTCAGTTAGTCTACACCTGCACCTTCAGCTGATGGGGAATCTCAACAAGAGAATCTTAGTATCTCAGCTACGGATGATGCTTCGCATGAGGACCTTGAGGCTTCCATTTATGACAATCAAGAATTGCTGGCATGGATTGAGGACGGACATCTCAATCTCATCACCCACGAGGGACTCTTCATGTGCAGACACCTACTGCATGCAGGATGATGACATTGATACACTGAAACTCCTGCGTATGAAGCCAGTACCCCAGGACAACTTGAATTCAGGCTTCGCGAAGGCCACCAAGCTGTGAAGACTACCTACTCAATTCTTTATTGTGAAGTAGTTCCCTCTACACATTATGGATGCGCTTAACAAGGTTCCTGAGATAGGTGAGCGACTCTAAGACAAAGTCTTACAGAATTGAAGATAAGAAACTGGTGCAACTTGACACCACGACCAGGAGGGCTTTTACGGACTTGCTAAGTCCAGGGCTATTAACGAGGCTTTGCTTAACACTGAAGAATCCGCAGACGGATCGTGAGATGATGTTCCTCGATGGGTCCATCTGGCACATCAGTAAGGAGGTTACTCAGGACTCCAAAAACCAGATGCTCAGACAATGAATTCAATGTTTAAGCAGTCTATGCAGAGGACCCAATTTAGAATCTCGGGGATTCAGAAGGCCAAAGATAAAAATTTCACGTCGCATAAGATCATCTTCTTTTTTCAAGCCAGCCAACAACACAAGAGGCCGCTCTACCAGAGGCAGGACCTCAAGCAACCCCCATTCCCGACATTGAAGAAGAGGTTCGGAACGACTGGTTGCTTCGACCCCCAGCCGTTCCCTTACAACCTTCTACCATGGGTGGACGTCTCATGACTTAATGGCAAAACTTGCTGTTTCTTCAAGACCCGTTTGTAACGCAAGTTCTTCGCGAGGTCTACTGGAAACAGCTGAAGGCCACGCCTCCTCTGACTATTCAGCAGCCAAGTATAAATTATCCAGAGCCCCTCAGACAGAAATTAACAGAAGCCATCAACTCTCTTCTCACCAAAGGAGCAGTAGAGATTCTTCAGTCAGACAATTATCCCCAGGGTTCTACTCGCCGATATTCCTAGTACCAAAGTTAAACTATTTGGAAAAAATTCCACCTCATCTACAACATGAAGATATTCAGTGTAGACTACCTGCTGTGACGCGCGAGATGATCAAAGTGATGCATCTACTGGACTTAAGGCATAAAGCCTGGCGATTACTTGGCGAGCATAGATCTGGAAGATGCGTGTCTTCACATCCCTATTCATCCAGCCTCAAGAAAGTTCCTGCATTTCCTGTACCTGGGCCAGCATTGCCAGTAGAGAGTCCTTCCCATTGGAATATCTTCGGCCCCATAGTTATTTACTTGTGTGACCAAGCCTATCGTGACCTTTCTACACTTGGGAGGGATTCGCAGCGCTTTCTATCTGGAACACGGCATTCAGGCTCACTGATCAGCAGAACTACTCAGACGTCAGTTGAGCTTGACCATTTGTCTGTTAACACAACTAGGTTGGCTAGTCAACATCCTGAGTTAGAGCCATCGCAAGATCGGAAGTTCCTGGGTATCAGATTCCTAACTGCGAGCAACCTCATCAAAGTAGTGGCTGAAGATCCAGGCTTGCATGGCAAGATATCCTCGGTCTTCTCACGTCAGTGCAGGCTTTTACACAGAGAGGCAGGCTCCAACTGAGGCCCATTCTGAGGTTCCTGAGACCATACTTAGATTGTCAGGAAGTCATGATTGTGTTACCTCTACACCTGAAGAGATACCTGCAGTGGTGGGAACAAAGGTTTGCGTAGGCACCTATTTGCAAGATTGGGCTATTTGGGCTACAATCTACACCTCTACATAGACGCCACACTCCAAGGCTGGGGAGTGCACTTCAACTCAGAATAACTGCAGGGACCTGGTCCAGAGAAGAACAATCTCTTCACATCAATCAACTGGAATTCAAGCCAGTCATCAGAGCCATAAACCACTGGTTCCATCTCCTCAGAAACCCATTCCTGATGATACCCACGGACAAGGCAGCAGTAGCATTCTACATAACCTGCAAGGCATGACAAGATCATCATCATCTCATCAGATTTCTCAGAGAGCCAAGTCTACAACTTCCGAACTGTCCCAATCTACTGACTCTTCGGCACACAAGGCAGTCTCACGCCAAACCTGAGGACTTCCAGTTAGACGCATGGAACATATACTGGACAAAAATAGTTAGAGATATATAATGCAAATTTTGAAATTATGAATAATGATCTATTTATTCATTGTCACACTGATAAAATATCAATCATAAAAATACCAATATCGCTAACTTAGTTTGTCCAGTATATTATGAACTGCCTCACCAGAAGAAGATACTCTGCTAGAGCAGCCAAGGCCGTCACCCTAGCTCTATTAGAAATCCGTATGATGACAAGTGGAAGAGCTTTGACCAGTTTGCAGTTCGGAATGGGTTCTCAGCAACCAGGGCTATGCATCCTCAAGTGGCAGAATACTTGTGTCATATGAGAGCTACCAGACATTTTAAAGATTCTACCCTGTCTACACACCTAGCGGCCCTCAGCTCAGTCCTTACCATGAACTCTGGAGTGAAACTCGCCAAGGTCCCAGAACTTGTTGCACTGCTGAGATCCTTCAAGCTGGAAGACCAGCAGAGGACTTTTAAGGTGCCAGCATGGGATTTGAATATAGTTAAAACCTTACCAGCAACGAATATGAACCATTACTTCAAGTAGGCTATGAGTTGCTCACTCAGAAGATGCTGCTTCTCCTCACACTTGCTACAGCTGCCAGGATGCCTTGGAGTACAGTCCAACTAGGTTCGATCCTAGTGACCATTCAGCAGGGACTTCATTGCAAAGAACCAACTACCAGGACAACCAGATAGACAGTTCCACATCCCTGCGATGTCATTAGCGTTGAGAATTGCTTTAAATGTGATTGCATCATTTATCAAATCTTCCAGGCTGTGTTTGTTAATCCACAAAAAATAAAGAAAAAACATGTAGGTTCTTTTGGTTCTTTGCAAATTGCACAAAATGCATTTGCAAATTTCACATTTTTAATGGATGACTAGTATGTTAGGAACATAAATTTTCTGGAGTCTTTAAGATAAATTCAGTCATGACATTGAACATTACATGTAACGCTTATGAAATGTAACAGACAAAACCAATCTTTGAAAAATATTGTTATTGCAAACAAGTGTTCCAAAATTGTTTGTGTTCGATTATGAGAAAAAAGGATCGATTGCATGGTTGTTTTGTTATTGCGAGCACCAATCTTCGATTATTTCAATTACTCAGACCACCACTAGTTATCACCCATCCTCGGATCGGACGACACTCAGGACTTGTCCTTATGACTAGACAGAGCCTTGAAGATCTATCTACAAAGAACTGCTGTGAGGAGCAGAAGGTTTAAGGGACTTTTCATCCTGTTATCACCTGCTACGGCTACTGATGTCTCCAGAACGACTATCTCTTTCTGGCTGAGAGTAGTAATTGTGAGGGCTTACAAGGCTGCAGGACTGTAACCACCTAGAACGCTCAAGTGTCTACCCAGTTGTTACAGAACACTCAAGTGTCTACCCAGTTGTTACAGAACGCTCAAGTGTCTACCCATTTGTTAGAGAACACTCAAGTGTCTACCCAGTTGTTACAGAACACTCAAGTGTCTACCCAGTTGTTAGAGAACACTCAAGTGTCTACCCAGTTGTTACAGAACACTCATGTGTCTACCCAGTTGTTACAGAACACTCAAGTGTCTACCCAGTTGTTAGAGAACACTCAAGTGTCTACCCAGTTGTTACAGAACACCTACCCATTTGTGTCTACCCAGTTGTTAGAGAACACTCAAGTGTCTACCCAGTTGTTACAGAACACTCGTGTCTACCCAGTTCTTACAGAACACTCAAGTGTCTACCCAGTTGTTACAGAACACTCAAGTGTCTACCCAGTTGTTACAGAACACTCAAATGTCCACCCGGTTGTTGCAGGACACACTTGTCTACTCTGGTGTGTAAAATGCTGCAGAATAGATGTAGATATTTAGTCATACATACCCTGAAACAAATACAGTACAACCAGAAATTATTAAGGATTTAAGATTGTAATTTTTTATATTTTTTTCACTCAATACTCACGTATTAAATGTGAATATTAGCAGAACATTACTCCAGATTCAAAGACAGGTGAACGGTTAGTTTTTGTCAAGTCACCATGGGCAGCAATGCAGGCTTCAATGCAGCGGGGCATACTACTGATCAAAGAAGTTAGAAAGTTGTGGTCCATGCTGTCCCAATATTGGACCACCTCTTCTTTCATTTCAGCAATATTTGTCAGATTTTTCTTATTGACACTTTCCTTCATAAGTCCCCAAACATTTTCTATTGGATTTAGGGCAGGGCTATAGCTTGGCCAATCCAATAATGTCATGTTTTGGTCTGTGAATGCTTTGAACGATGTTTTGGGTCGTTGTCCTGCTGGAAAATCCAAAAATTTCCATAGTGAGCAGATGGAAGTAAATGTCCCTCGAGAATATCTGTGTACCGCTCACTGTTCATATTCCCTTCAAATACACGGAGGGGCGATGCCCCTAACACAGATAGCCACCCCACACGTTAAATTTCAGACTGTACTTTGGGCGCTGATACAAAGGTTTTTCAGTTTGTTTGGTCCAGAATTTCAGTGTATTAGGAAACAGCCACACAGAAAATAACATTGTCCCAGTTAAAATTTGTATGCTGTAAGCACCAGTTCAGGTTTCATGATCGGTGATGGAATTCCTCGACTTTTCTGCCAACCCATTGCATGCAGCTCAGTTCTAATTGTCTCCTTGCAGACAGCCACAGCTCGTCTATCAATCATATCCAGCCTTAAGTTTTCTAAACTCCTTCGTTTGGTTTTAGAAACAAGAATACCAAGCCGCCTCCTGTCACCGACAGTCAATTTTCTGGGCCTACCTGCACCTCCCTGGTGCTCAATGCCATATCCATTGGCAATATTCAAAACACGATAAACAGTGGACAAAGGGATGCCTGTTCTACTTGCAATCACTTTAACTGATCTGATGTCCTTGTTATAATACTCTAAAATCAACTTCCCCTTCTCTAAATCATCCATACTGAGGATCACTGAAAATGTCGTCTGCTGGCACGTAAACAAAGGGGGATAACTCTTCACAAACTAATGAAAAAAAGGATTAACGGAGTTGTCTCTCTTGAATGAAACCAAGCACTTGATAGCTGGTCAAGGTTGTTTCTACTAGAAATCCAATTAAACATATTCCTAAAATTCGCAATAATTTCTGGTCATACTATATATCCAAGAAAGCCCATGTAAGTCTAGAATATGTGGCAACTCTAAATTTCCAGTTTCAGGAAATGGATTAAGTCCCTGGGCTCCTTTTCGTATTACTTTTTATGAACAGTTTTTTTCTGTAAAACATGTTTATTTCAGAGACTAGATGTTAGTGTAGTAGATATTGTACTCTATATAAAGTGTTAGTTCTACAATACATGGCATAAACTGTGTCTCCATGTGATCATCTCTGATTTAGCCCATGAGGTACTGCAGATACTCTCCAAAATACCAGCCAGATCCTTTTGCCTACTTGTTTGTGAGTATTGTGCATGTTTCCATGGCGATGGAGGTACATTATTGTATATGACCACAGCAATGGATACTCATGTAATATGTTTCTTGGCTGTCGCCTTGCATTACCAGTAGTCACCATGGTGATGGATTCAGATATTACATGTCCCTGTTGAATAAGTATACATTAGTGTACGTTTCCATGGTGATGGATCTGAATATTGTATGTTTCTCCAATGGTGAGTGTACTGAATGTGGATGGTACTGGATGTGTATGCTGTATATACGCTGGTCACTGGCCTGGCTTATATATGTATATATGTTCCTGTTCCTTGTTGTGGTTATTGTAAGGAGAGCTCTATTGTTACTGTGAGGGGGAAGTGCTTTGTGTATTTCACAGTTGTTCACTGTAATACTGACAACAGTAGTTTGTAGCCCAGGCAACACCACATCACATTGTGCACCTTTCTTGCTATTCTTTCTGGCCCCTGTGAAAACAGGCGGCTAACCAACCTTCACATTCATGCTATAGTCTGTTTGCAGTGAAAACATAAGAATGAATTTTACCTTAAACCACAGGGGCTTGTAACGCTAAAAACTGCCATCAAGGTATGTACTGTCACTAACGGGGTCTTATCACTATATAAAAGGAAAGGGATGTAACAAGGTCAACACACCAGGTTCGTTTCAGGGCGAATTCAACAATACTCACTGTATGTATCCCATTTAAAGTATGCACACATTTCAAGCCAATAGATTTCCCTTCAAAATGAGACATACATCACAAAAATCGAAGCAGTAGTTTGGGAGCTACCCACTCACAGTCATACACCCACCCAACCACTACCCACTAAGTCATACACCCACGCAACCACTACCCACTCACAGTCATACACCCACGCAACCACTACCCACTCACAGCCATACACGCACCTTACCACTACCCACTCAGTCATACACCCACATAACCACTACCCACTCAGTCTTACACCCACGCAACCACTACCCACTCAGTCATACACCCACCCAGCCACTACCCACTCAGTCATACACCCACCCTACCCATTACCCACTCACAGTCATAACACCCATCCAACCACTACCCACACTCAGCCATACACCTATCCAACCACTACCCACTCAGCCATACACCCCACCCAACCACTCACTCCACTCAGTCATACACCCACCCAACCACTACCCACTCAGCCATACACCCACCCAACCACTACCCACTCCAGTCATACACCCATCCAACCACTACCCACTCAGTCATACACCCACCCAACCACTACCCACTCAGTCATACACCCACCCAACCACTACCCACTCAGTCATACACCCACCCAGCCACTACCCACTCAGTCATACACCCACCCAACCACTACCCACTCAGTCATACACCCACCCAACCACTACCCACTCAGTCATACACCCACCCACCCACTACCCACTCACACTCACATACACCCACCCAGCCACTACCCACTCAGTCATACACCCACCCAGTCACTACCCACTCCAGTCATACACCCACCCAACCACTACCCACTCAGTCATACACCCACCCAACCACTACCCACTCAGTCATACACCTACATACAGCCTCTACCCACCAGTCTACACCCACTCAGTCATACACCCACCCAACCACTACCCACTCAGTCATACACCCAGTCATACAGCCACTACCCACACTCAGTCATACACCCACCCAACCCACTACCCACTCAGTCATACACTCCACCTAGCCACTACCCACTCAGTCATACACCCACCCAACCACTACCCACTCAGTCATACACTCTCAGTCACCCAGCCACTACCCACTCAGTCATACACTCCACCCAACCACTACCCACTCAGTCATACACCCACCCAGCCACTACCCACTCACCATACACCCACCCAGGCACTACCCACTCAGTCATACACCCACCCAACCATTACCCACTCAGTCATACACCCACCCAGCCAGCCACTACCCACTCAGTCATACACCCACCCAACCACTGCCACCCACTCAGTCATACACCCACCCAGCAGCCACTACCCACTCAGTCATACACCCACCCACCCACTACCCACTCAGTCATACACCCACCCAGCCACTACCCACTCAGTCATACACCCACCCAGCCACTACCCACTCAGTCATACACCCACCCAGCCACTACCCACTCAGTCATACACTCCAGTCATACACCCACCCACCACTACCCACTCAGTCATACACCCACCCCACCCACTACCCACTCCATACTCAGTCATACACCCACCCAACCACTACCCACTCAGTCATACACCCACCCAACCACTACCCACTCAGTCATACACCCACCCAACCACTACCCACTCAGTCATACACCCACCCAACCACTACCCACTCAGTCATACACCCACCCAGCCACTACCCACTCAGTCATACACCCACCCAGCCACTACCCACTCAGTCATACACCCACCCAACCACTACCCACTCAGATTGTTGTTCCTGTAACACATGTACTCATTCCTCTCTATTGTATTGCTTTGGAAGTACTTCTAAGGTATGAGACATTTTATACCATGGCTGGTATCAAGTGATAAATGATGCACGTTATGTAACTTTGGATGTATTCTGTTCAATATGTATAACGTACGTTATCTGTTGAGGAAATCATGTTCCATGTGAATGGTTGTATATATTCTTGTATATTTGCTGTCTGTCTTCTCAAGTATTTATTCCTAATCCACTAAAGCATGCCGTCTCATGAATGAATATATTTTGTTCTCATTTATGCTAAAGCGAGATTTTATATTTTTGTGCTACAAAATTTTCCATTAACATCTCGACTTGCTTCCCCTACTCAGACTGTCTGTTCTGTCATCACACGCCTCCACTTCTTGCTTCCCCCACTCAGACTGTCTATTCTGTCATCACACACCTCCACTCCTTGCTTCCCCCACTCAGACTGTCTATTCTGTCATCACACACCTCCACTTCTTGCTTCCCCCACTCAGACTGTCTATTCTGTCATCACACACCTCCACTCTCTTGCTTCCCCCACTCAGACTGTCTATTCTGTCATCACACACCTCCACTCTTGCTTCCCCCACTCAGACTGTCTATTCTGTCATCACACAAACCTCCACTTCTTGCTTCCCCACTCAGACTGTCCTATTCTGTCATCACACACCTCCACCTCCTTCTTGCTTCCCCACACTGTCAGACTGTCTATTCTGTCATCACACACCTCCACTTCTTGCTTCCCCCACTCAGACTGTCTATTCTGTCATCACACACCTCCACTTCTTGCTTCCCCCACTCAGACTGTCTATTCTGTCATCTGACACCTCCACTTCTTGCTTCCCCCACTCAGACTGTCTATTCTGTCATCACACACCTCCACTTCTTGCTTCCCCCACTCAGACTGTCTATTCTGTCATCACACACCTCCACTTCTTGCTTCCCCCACTCAGACTGTCTATTCTGTCATAACACACCTCCACTTCTTGCTTCCCCCACTCAGACTGTCTATTCTGTCATCACACACCTCCACTTCTTGCTTCCCCCACTCAGACTGTCTATTCTGTCATCACACACCTCCACTTCTTGCTTCCCCCACTCAGACTGTCTATTCTGTCATCTGACACCTCCACTGACACTTCCACTGCTTCCCCCACTCAGACTGTCTATTCTGTCATCACACACCTCCATTTCTTGCTTCCCCCACTCAGACTGTCTATTCTGTCATCACACACCTCCACTTCTTGCTTCCCCCACTCAGACTGTCTATTCTGTCATCATCTGACACCTCCACTTCTTGCTTCCCCCACTCAGACTGTCTATTCTGTCATCACACACCTCCATTTCTTGCTTCCCCCACTCAGACTGTCTATTCTGTCATCACACACCTCCACTTCTTGCTTCTCCCACTCAGACTGTCTATTCTGTCATCTGACACCTCCACTTCTTGCTTCCCCCACTCAGACTGTCTATTCTGTCATCTGACACCTCCAGTTCTAGCTTCCCCCATTCAGTTTGTTCATCTCTTCAGCCTACTGCACCCCATTCAGTTTGTTCATCTCTTCAGCCTACTGCACCTCCTCCAGCTGTTCTTCTCTTTTCCATGTGTATTATCACTACATATCAATGTTATACTATTTGCTGGCATTGAATGTTGTTAGCATTAAATGTCTGTGCTGTTACCTACAAGATGTCAAAGGTGTCAAATTAATATAAGTGTGTCATCACAGAAGCAGAATCTCTGGGTTGCAAATTTCAGCTTGAGTATATATGCTGGCTGAATTGCGACAAGTCAACAACTTTGAACTATTTGTGAACCTACTAAGCCTAACTGTCTATCTGTTCCATAAGAACACACACTCAAAAAGAATCTCAGCTCTCAGTTTGTGTATTTGTCTTCACCCAGGATAGCTACATGCCTGGTCTCAATCAGGTGAAGATGGTTCGCCTCCTTGTCAAGTACCTGCATTTCTTCACAAACAGTGCGCCCAATGTGATAACCTCCCCTTACCAGACAACCATCCACCAACCGATGGAGGAGTTCAAGAGGTATGTGGGCAGTAAACACACAGAGTGAAATCAATACATAGGGATGGGAGTCAATACATAGGGATGGGAGTCAATACATAGGGGTGGGAGTCAATACATAGGGATGGGAGTCAATACATAGGGTTGGGGTTCAATACATAGGGATGGGAGTCAATACATAGGGTTGGGGGTTCAATACATAGGGATGGGAGTCAATACATAGGGTTGGGAGTCAATACATAGGGATGGGAGTCAATACATAGGGATGGGAGTCAATACACAGGGATGGAGTCAATACATAGGGATGGGGTCAATACATAGGGATGGGAGTCAATACATAGGGATGGGAGTCAATACATAGGGATGGGAGTCAATACATAGGGATGGGAGTCAATACATAGGGATGGGAGTCAATACATAGGGATGGGGAGTCAATACATAGGGGTGGGAGTCAATACATAGGGATGGGAGTCAATACATAGGGTGGGAGTCAATACATAGGGTTGGAGTCAATACATACATGGAGTCAATACATAGGGATGGGAGTCAATACATAGGGGTGGAGGAGTCAATACATAGGGATGGGAGTCAATACATAGGGATGGGAGTCAATACACATAGGGTCAATACATAGGGGGGGGTCAAATACATAGGGATGGGAGTCAATACATAGGGTTGGGAGTCAATACATAGGGATGGGAGTCAATACATAGGGATGGGAGTCAATACATAGGGTTGGGAGTCAATACATAGGGATGGGAGTCAATACATAGGGATGGGAGTCAATACATAGGGATGGGAGTCAATACATAGGGTTGGGGTTCAATACATAGGGATGGGAGTCAATACATAGGGATGGGGTCAATACATAGGGATGGGGAGTCAATACAGGGGGGTGGGAGTCAATACATAGGGATGGGAGTCAATACATAGGGGTGGGAGTCAATACATAGGGTTGGGAGTCAATACATAGTCAATACATGGGGATGGTCAATACATAGGGGTGGAGTCAATACATAGGGATGGGAGTCAATACATAGGGATGGGAGTCAATACATAGGGGTGGGAGTCAATACATAGGGATGGGAGTCAATACATAGAGGAGGAGTCAATACATACATAGGGGGGTTGGGAGATGGGAGTCAATACATAGGGGTGGGGTTCAATACATAGGGATGGGAGTCAATACATAGGATGGGAGTCAATACATAGGGGTGGGAGTCAATACATAGGGGTGGGAGTCAATACATAGGGAGGAGTCAATACATAGGATGGGAGTCAATACATAGGATGGGAGTCAATACATAGGAGGAGGAGTCAATACATAGTTCAATACATAGGGATGGGGAGTCAATACATAGGGTGGAGTCAATACATAGGGATGGGAGTCAATACATAGGGTTGGGGAGTCAATACATAGGGATGGGGTCAATACATAGGGATGGGAGTCAATACATAGGGAGGGGAGTCAATACATAGGGGTGGGAGTCAATACATACACAGGGGGAGTCAATACATAGGAGTGGGAGTCAATACATAGGGTTGGGAGTCAATACATAGAGAGGGAGTCACATACATAGGGTCATGTGGGAGGGGTGGGAATTCAATACATAGGGTTGGGGAGTCAATACATAGGGATGGGAGTCAATACATAGAGTGGTGGAGTCACATAGGGGTGGGAGTCATAGGATGGGAGTCAATACATAGGGGATGGAGTCAATACATAGGGGAGGAGTCAATAACACATGGGAGGAGTCAATACATAGGGAGGAGTCAATACATAGAGGGGGTGTCAATACATAGTGGGAGTCAATACATAGGGTGGGAGTCAATACATGGGGTGGAGTCAATACATAGGGAGTGGGGAGTCAATACATAGGGGTGAGGTGGGATGGTCAATACATAGGGGAGGAGTCAATACATAGGGGAGGGAGTCAATACATAGGGTGGAGTCAATACATAGGGGTGGGAGTCAATACATAGGGGTTGGGAGTCAATACATAGGGTGGGAGTCAATACATAGGGGTGGGATTCAATACATAGGGGTGGGAGTTCAATACATAGGGTGGGAGTCAATACACAGGGATGGGAGTCAATACATAGGGATGGAGTCAATACATAGGGGTGGGATTCAATACATAGGATGGGGAGTCAATACATAGAGTGGGAGTCAATACATAGGGATGGGAGTCAATACATAGGGATGGGAGTCAATACATAGGGATGGGAGTGAATACATAGGGTTGGGATTCAATACATAGGTGTGGGAGGGGTGGGGGTCAATACATAGGGTTGGGAGTCAATACATAGGGATGGGAGTCAATACATAGGGAGGAATCCATACACAGGGATGGAAGTCAATACATAGGGAGGAGTCAAACATAGGAGTTGGGATTCAATACACTGGGGGATGGGAGTCAATATATAGGGATGGGAGTCAATGTACAGGGATGGGAGTCAATACACAGGGGTGGGAGTCAATACATAGGGATGGGAGTGAATACATAGAGGTTGGGGTTGGTGGATGGTGAAGTCAATACATAGGGATGGAGTCAATACATAGGGATGGGAGTCAGCCACATAGGGATGGGAGCCACAATAGGAGGAGGAGTCCAAACATAGGGGAGGAGTCAATACATAGAGATGGGGTTCAATATATAGGGGAGTCAATACATAGGGATGGGAGCCAATACATAGGCGTGGGAGTCACACAGGGATGGGAGCCGATACATACACACACACAGGGCACTAACAATCAGTGGATGAGCCCATCACACAGGAGATGGGCCCAACACATGTGGTGGTTCGACCCACAGGAATGGAGCCACACACACACACATGGAGGAATCCCACATGGATGGACACAGGATGGCCACACACAGGAGGAGCCACACAACGCACAGGAATGGGTGGCCACACACTGGATGGGGCCCACATGGACACACACACAGGATGGAGCCACACACACACAGGGCTGGGAGCCACACGGCCCCACACATAGTGGATGGAGCCAACACACAGCCCAGGCACACAGGACGGAGCCACACACAGTGGCGCCACATGACCACAGCACACAGTGGACGGAGCCACAATGGAGGACACGTGGCCACATGGACCCACACATGAGCCAACACAGTGGAAATGGACACACACACGGAGCCACACACAGGAGGAGCCACAGGAACACACACACATGTGGACAGAGCCACACAGCCGACACATAGAGCCACACACATGGTGAGGACACGGGGAGCCACACACAACCGGACCCACAGGAACGAACACACATGGACACACACACATGGAGTGGAGCCAACACACCGTGGAGGATCCCAACACACACAACGCATGGAATGGAACGGATGGATGGACACAGGAGGAGCCAACATGGATCCGGCCACACAGAGCCGGACCCACATGGAGCAACACATAACACAAGGAGCCACACACAGAGGAGAGCCACACACACGGACAGGGCCACACACAACGAGCCAACAAGCACAGGGCTGGAGTCAAAATATAGAACGGCCAACACACACACACAAAGTGAGCCAACACACAGTGGAGCCAACGCAGAGGAACGGCCAATACACTGGGGTGGAGCCAACACATAGACGGACACACAGAGTGAGGAGCCACACATAAGTGGAGCCAATCCACAGGAGTGAGCCAACACACAGGAGTGGATCCACCACATGGAGCGGAGCCACATGGAGGGGAAAGCCACACACACAGCCACACAGGATCCACACACAGTGGAGCCAACACACAGTGGCAGATGGATCACACAGCCGCAGGAGCCACACACATGGAGCCACAGGAGGCCACACACAGGAGGCACACCGGTGGACACACACAGACACCACACAACCCACAGTGGAAACGGCCACACAGGAACACACACACACAGGTGGACCACAGGAATCACACACACACACAGAGGAGCACACACACATATGAGCCACACATGGATCCACACACAGGTCAGAGCCAACAAGGACACACGGAGCCACACATGGTGAGCCACACACACAGGTGGAGCCAACAAATATGGACAATGGACACACGACACACACATGGACGGACACATGGATGAGCCCACACACAGGATCCAACACATAGTGAGCCAACATGGAACGGCACTGGAACACACACACAGGACTGACCCACAGAGCAGCCACACATGGATCCCACCGCACAGGAATGGAACACACAATCAACACATGGACACAGAACAGGAGGAGCCAACACACATGGAGTCACAGGAATGGAAAAGGCCACTTGACACACACACAGGTAGAGCCACACACATAGTGGACAACACAGGAAAAGACACATAAAGTGGAGCCAACATGGACCAACACACAGAGTGAGGAGCCACACACCGACCCATGGAGCCAACACACAGGAGTGGATCCAACACACAGGAGTGGACAACACACAGGACGGACCGGACCCCACAGAGGCCCCACACACATGGATCCAACACACAGTGGAATCACACATACACAATGGAGCCAAGCCACACACATGGAGTGAGCCAACACATGTGAGCCACACACAGTGAGGAAACACACACAGAGAACACACAAAAGTGGCCGACCCACAGGAACACATATAGGGTGGAGCCAACATATAAGGAGCCAACACATAATCAACCCATGAATGAACACACATGGATAAAATAACACAGAGGGAGGAAATAACACACAGGAATGGAAGCCAATACACTGGATGGGCCCACATATGAGTGGAGTGGAAACACACATAGTGGACCAACACATAGGGTTGGAGTCAACAAAGGGATGGGAGCCAACATAGAAGGAGTGGAACAACACACATAGGAGGAATACACAGGGGTGGACAATGGAATGGACACAATGAAATGGAATAATATAGGTGGACACACAGGGATGAGCCACATAGGGGTGGGACCGAACAAAGCACAGGGTGGAAAATAAGGAATGGTGGAATACATTGGATGGAATGGAGGAGCCAACAAAATAGGAATGGAAGCCACA